GTGAGGAGAGGAGGTGCCGGGGCGGCGGGAGGTGTACCCCAAACCCCTCTGGGGGAGCCGGGAGAGAGAGCAACAAGTGCTCACAAATAATTGTATGTTTTTTAAAATGTGTCGTGTTTCGGCGCTGTTACTTGGGATTTTGCATTAACGTCAAGCACACTGTTTTTTCTATACTGTCTTTGAATATCAGCTGTGGTTTAGTCTCTCTGTTGATCATTATACTGTTTGCACGCAGTCAGTTGTCTCTGACCAGCAGACACCAGTGATAGACCTCATTGCACACATGAAGTTCTTTTCCAACCTTAATGATTCTAAGAATCATTGCATCAAAAGAAGCGTGGCCAGCTGGTCAAGGGAGGTGACTCTGCCCCTCTGCTCTTGTGAGACCCCACCTGGAGTGCTGCATCCAGCTCTGGAGCCCCCAACATAAAAAGGACATGGACCTGTTGGAGTGAATCCAGAGGAGGGCCATGAAGATGATTGGAGAGCTGGAGCACCTCTCCTGTGAGGACAGGCTGAGAGAGTTGAGGTTGTTCAGCCTGGAGAAGAGGAGGCTCTGGGGAGACCTTATAGCGGCCTTCCAGTATCTGAAGGGGGCCTACGAGAAAGCTGGAGAAGGACTTTTTACTAGGGCATGTAGCGATAGGACGACGGGTAACGGCTTCAAATTGAAAGAGGGTAGATTTAGATTAGATATTAGGAAGAAATTCTTTACTGTGAGGGTGGTGAGACACTGGAAGAGGTTGCCCGGAGGAGTGGATGCCCCATCCCTGGAAGTGTTCAAGGCCAGGCTGGATGGGACTTTGAGAAACCTGATCTAGTGGAAGATGTCCCTGCCCATGGCAGGGCAGTTGGAACTAGATGTTCTCTCAGGTCCCTTCCAACTCTAACCATTCTATGATTCTATGAAGAATACCCTCAAAGCCTCTCTTCGAGAGCCAAGCAACTGTGACAGGCACAGGTGCTCAGTCAGTGCAGCTGATTATCCCAGCTACAGGCAGTCCTATGCCTATCCCAGCTGAGAAACGCATGCAAAAATTGCTGACAAGGGTACTTGGATTGTAAATCCCTGATGATGGAGGCTGCCAAGTACTGCTTCAGTACTCTGTTCATGAAACCTGTTCTGGAGTGATTCCCCCGGGGACTTGCTGTGCAGGTGGTCAGCAGGCACTCCAGAGTGCCTGGCTCCTGTGGTGGGAACACCTGAAGAGCGAGGAAAGACCAGTGCTGCGGACACCGGGGACCTCTCTTCTTCCACGCTATGAAATAACTAGCAATTGTGCACTGATGTGTCTGTCCTGACTACTGTAGTGCTTTGCAAAAGTATAGATTACAAAATCGTGCCTTCTTGAATTCTCCCAAACACATTTTGATACGCTGAACATTAAGGGAGTCAAGTTTAACACCAAATCCTCTACAAAATGACTAACAAAAAGATAAAGTATAATAAAATGTTGCAATAATTATACAAAACTGTAAATTGTTCTTGCTATCCTGGTGATGATTTTTGAGTAACATTTTCTTACATGGATTTCAAGTTCAGACAGTTAAACTTTAAAGCAAAAATTCATTAACTAGCAAGAAGGAGTTAGAGCATATAAACTGGATTCTTAGTTAAGTCTACTTGAATTTTCTTCTTTAAAAAAAAGTGACAAACCCTAAAATGCTTACACATTCCCTGTTCCACATCAACTGCTTCCAAGTTTGCTGATAAGACATAATTGTTGATCTTTTAACTTACTGCTTATGTTAAAATACCTGAGATCAAAGGGCCATTGTAAAGCTCCTCTCAAAGACACAAGTAATTCTTGCTATGAATTCAGGAAGGAGATCTAGAACATCTTAGTCATGAAGGTAAAAAGCAAACTTTGGAAGGACAACATGGTAGTTTTTCCATTTGTATATCAAATCAACAAATTTGAATGAACAAAATGAAGGAGCAATTAGTCAGAGGAGCCCAAAAAAGAATAGTTGAAGGAATGTTACTCTTTTTTTAAGCAAAAATCCAGGACATGCATGTCAAATGTCAAGAAAATGAATGTGTTACTTGGTTAGATGTGGAGGGAATCAGATGGCTTCAAAGTTTTTTGTGTAACTTGAACATCTAATTTTCAAGTTGTGGTTCAGGAGGAGATATATGTGTATGGAAATATATGTGACAGAAAAGGTCAGGAAGCCATTTATATTTTGAGTGACTGAAGAGCTGTTTGAATTACTAGGACACACAATGTCACAGAGGAGACTGTGGGCAGTAATCAAAAAATGATTACCATAAGCAAAGTCTGATTAAGGTAAAACAAGATGAGAGTGTTGCACCAGTGCACTATCATGTTCTAAGTAGATGTAATTTGTAGAGTACCTTATAGACCTCCAAGTAGTGTTGTTAAGCTGAGTTACTTAGTGTTGCAGTGTGCTGTTAGTTTTCTGTTATAGAAAGGGATCTATTATTCCAGCATTGTGACAAAGTTCTCTGAAATTAATAATGTCTGTGGGTATGGGGAAAGAAGTATTGCACAGTCTCAGTCTGTGAACTTCATTCCCATTATTAAATATTGCTGTCAGTGTCCACGTAATACTGCAGGGCAAGCTGATGTCTGCAGTGTTAATAAGGTGCCTGTGTAATAATTGTTTCTTAGGATTAGACTTTTGAAATACCGCATTAGCCTAAAAGACTTTTGTTTAATGTAATGTAATACATTTCCCACGTGGGATGTATAGACTAGCTTAAGCATGAAACTGGATAAGGATGTACATTGCCCATGTCTACGTTAAGTGTTAGAAAGCAATATTATATGTGACCAGAATTCATAGCACAAAAAAAGCAGAGGCAGGAAATCTATATTCACGAGTTTGTTGTTTCAGGCAAGGCCAACGCAAGCAATGCATTTGTTCTCACTGACTCTAACCCACCATAAAGTATTATCACTAGCCCGTTTGCTAGCCAAAGGTAAGGCCAGCTTTCCCAGTAGACTACTGTAGCAGATCATGTACTGTTTGCCTCTCAAAATGTTTCAAACAAATCTGAATGAACAGAGTAAACCGTAATGGGTCATCTCTTTGCTCATGTAGCCGTTGCATTTTTTGATCCATTTTTAGCAATTGTAAGATTGGATTTATCGTGTTTTCCAGGCACAATCTAAGTAGAATAGTAGAGATGGGAAACAGCAGCTAGTGCGCGCAAGAACATTTCCTTAACTGTATGTCAGTTAATTTGATACTATTCAATAAATATTTATAGATTCAGGAAAGGCAGGAAACAAAGGGCCATTTTTTTTGCAATGTAATTTGAAAAGAGAGGTGCTTGCTTCCTGAAGACATTTTGGGATGCTGTCTTTCAAGTGATGTTTTCCAGTCTGTGGAATGCCAAGTCATTGGGCGTTGTGTGTAAGTCAACCCATCACTCCAGTGACTGACAGGTATCCTGTTGTCTAGTGCCGTGTCCTCCAGTTTAAAGCACCTCAGCGGCAGGGAGCACTTCTGTAACTAATCAGCTCAGATTCTTGAAATATCAGCAAAAGTGGAAGTAAAACTGCAAGCAAATGCCAAGCATGTTTTATTGTTTTATGTAGAAGTGAAGTGAAGTAGTATATCTGATTTTATGCTTGCTGCTTCACATCTGGAGAAAAGTTTGCATGTGCAAAAACCTTGAGTGTTTTTTCCAGTTTTAGGATATTGATCTAATAAAAGGTATTTTTCTCTCTCTGCTATTTTAGCTTCTTGTAGCTTTGTTTTCAGCTCTGTAATTTATTGCTTAGCCTTTTATTTTGAAAGAATAAACTTATTTTTGTGAAGGTCATACAGGCAACAATGAAAGGCATACTGAGCACCTGTACCTCAGAGAACAGGGAGCTACCTGGGACAGGCTTGAAATTCTTGCCAGCCAACTTGCTGCTCCTGAAAAGCTGCAATCTCTTATTTCTCTGAGCTGCAAGAATTTGGAACATCATCGTGATAAACTGGTGGAAGGAAGTATCTTTTGGCAAACACCCATTACAACCCTCTGCAAGAAAAGAATTGGAAATGGCTCTGAAAAGATGCATGAGACTACAGGCAAAATCCTAGCTGCCCTTAATGGCAGCTAACTTTGCTAGAAATTTTACTAAAAGATTAAATAACTGTACTATTCATAAAGTCATACTACATAATAAAATGCATAGCACTGCCACTTTGAGTGGTGCATTGCTTTATTTGTCTTTTGGACTTTTATTAAGACAACACATCAAGAGTACATAAAGACAACTGAGAGGACAGCAAACTTTCCTACAAAGCTTTAGTGAGGTGGATAAGCATTCTTCCATTAAAAGACACCCTTTTCCTGTGGAATTTGAATTATTAATTGTAACATAGGTGCTATTTCTAGTGCAGGAAAGCCATGGAATTTTGATTTTTTTCTATAATAATAATTGCAGTAATCCAATTTGTGAAAATATTTTTTCTTTTCACATTAGTGAAGCTCCCTGTTATATCTTGTTTCAAATATAATTATTCTTGCAAATATCCAGAAGCAGTGATACAAAGGAAAATACGTAAATTTAGGTTTTAATGCTGCATATGTGTTTATAGACTTTTGTGTTCCCACTAATTTACAGGATGGGGCTGGAGGCTTAGAGGGTCCCAAGTATTCTTCCAAATATTTGCTCCAAGTTGAAAATCTGGAGGTAGACTGCACATAATTTTGGTATTAAAAACATAGCAGCATGTTCATCTTGAAGACTAATTTTCCTTAGTGCTAGTACCTTAAATTGTCTTCTAAAATCAAGTCTGCTTTGAATAAGTGAGTACATTTCTGAAAACTGACTTTTGCCTCAGCATTTTGTGTCTCAGGAGCTAGTTTAAATGGAGACCTCTATATGGAAAATCATTAATATTTCTAGCCAGGTAGCTTACTTTGTTGTTTTAAACAGCTAAAAGAATGCGAACAAACTGAATTATGTAATCTAAAATGACATATTCTTTAGGACTAGGGAGCCTAGCAAGAAGTGCATAGGCAATCGGAAGTTGTTATTCCCAGAGCCACTTTAAAGCCTGCATGCATCTATCGATGGTTGGAAGTGAAAAGTGATGTATTCCTCCAATTTGCAAGGAAATTAAAATGTAAAAGCTGTTTTTAAATGATGTGTGAGACCAAGCCAGAGCTTTCCATGCCCACTTGGAAAAGGTTTCTCTTAATGAGGAAAACATAAGAATAAAAACCTTTAGAGCTGATGGGGGAAAAAAAGAAGAATAAAAAGAGAGCTGTGATACCCTTCTGCACATCAGCTAGGGAGTACTTCACTGGGTATGGGGAGACCATTAAGAGCTGCTAGTATGTTTTCAACTGCTTCTTCTGTTATCATGTAGGTAGCCTTGTCTGTTTTAATGCCGAGGTGAGGTGTTATAATGACATTCTTTAATTTTAACAGTGTATGATCTCTGGAAGAAAGGAAAAAAGACATAGTTAAATTACCTACTTTTGTTCATCCAAATAAAGAGGAGTCCTACTTTGGCTTTTGTACTGTATTTAAAGATAAAGTTAATTTAATATAACTTTACAAGTCCCGCTTACATTCACAGAACCTGATCACGTGAGTTCAAGTAATTTGGGACATTAAAAGGACATGTTAAGAGTTTATACTGTGCTCTTTTGTCCAGAAACAGACTTTTGCCATTAGGCAGCAATTTGAACGATGTCAGAAGAGAGGATTAAGCCCTCCTGACACATTAACCTTACACAATGGTGTGAGTTGTATTTATGTGACTCAGATAATGGACAATGATGTCCTGGCACACAAACATAACAAGACCAAGCTCTCCCCAGCCCAAAATGCATCCAGCACAGTTAAGTCCACGAGGCACCACTGTGGTAGAGGTGTCTTTTTACAGAAGCTAAGTAGCCTCTGGGACCAAGAGATCTGCAGTACTTCAGCCTTGTGTTGGGGAAACAAGCCCTTGGGGAGGGAAACCTCGGGGCAATGCAGCGGGTCTAAAGTGACTCAAGCAGCTTCCACCCATTCACGGCAAGTTGCACCTTCAGATAAAGCAATTTGTAAGCGAAGCACTACTTTTGCTTCATATGGTGATTCTATGGACAGGGTTCAATGCCCCCTCCTGCTGTTTCCTGGTGCCCAGGCTTCCCTTTGTCGTGTTATCAGACCCAACATCGGGGCTGCATCCCCTTCGTATTCATGGCTCTTTTAGACAGACCTCTGCCCCAGGGGATGCCAGATCCCTGCCTGCTGCAGGGATGCCTCCTGCCTTCGGCAGGGCTCACACATCGTTGCTGAGAAACGGGCAGAGATGGCAACCTGGGCAGTGGTTCCGGGTAGGTGACATCCAAAGCTGCGGCCCTGATAACGCCAGTCTGCAGAGCTGTCACCAGCGCCTCTTGGTCAATTACTGCACCTGGTTTGGAATGAGAGAGTCTCTGAGTGCCATTTGCAGGTAATGATCTGAGAGTGAAAAGAGAATAAAAGGGGGGAGAGAGGAATTTTTGCCATGCCCGATCTGGCCTCGGTGCGTGCACCAGCTGTGTGGTGGATGCAGCGTGGTGCTGCCTGTAACACAACAGGACCTGGCTCATACTTTCTCCTCAGCGCAGTTAAAGGTTCTGGATGGTACCTCGGCTGATGTTAATCAGAGTAGCTGTGGGTTTCATCAGCTCCATCTCTCTTTTCCCAATCAGCTTGTGTGTCTGAGGTGTCAGGCTCACCACCACCATCACAAAATCTGCCTGCTGGAGCAAATTGTCTATCTTTTCGCAGTAAGTGGCGCCGACAGCTTGCTCCTCTTGCTCTTTCCTGGTGGGGAAAAAAAGGATCACACAGTATTTCAGTGCATCAGTCATGAAACTATTTTCTCCAATGATGTCACTTGTATACAAATTAAAGGATCTGATTATCACATTCTTGTAGCAAACAGGTGGCAAAAAAAGGTGAATTTAGTCTCAGCTGGCTGTTTAGACCCTTCTGGAAGGCTTCAAGCCCTACAGCAGGGCTTAGATTGCATGCCTGCCTCTCAGCCCTGCAGTGCAGGGTCCAGGGGCTTCTTTTAGAGTCTGCAAGTGGACTAAGGCTAAGCACTGTAACAGATAGCAGCATTCTCCAGGATCCCCTGTGGGGTAGGTGAACTTCACGGGACACAGTAATCACTCAAACCAGAGTAGTGGGATTCACCAGAACTCATCCATGTGAGCTCTGAGCACGCCGGTGGTCCTTATCCTGTTGGCATCCTCCGGTGAACCTGTCACTTTCTGATGAGTGGAATTGGCAAGGCAGCTCTTTGGCAGGCTCCTGGCTGCTCCAGGACTTAAACAAAATAAAGTATTCAAAACAAAAAGTTGCCAAAGTAGAGAGAGAATTTTAGTTTGAACTTTTCTCAATAAAAACGAATACTTGCCATTTCTCCCGTTCTTTGTAAATTTAGCTGCCTGAACTTTTGGAACTAAAGAAGCAATGATAGGAGATTGTGTGTACAATCTTCTGCTCCCAATTGCAAGAGAATGGCTTTGAATTATCTCCTCCCTAATCTAGAAATAAAGAAAGAAGTCATGCTAAGAAAATAACTTCAGTGTAACTTTGAACCATATATATCCTAATGCATGCCTTTCATTATTTTCTTTCAGTGTCCAGCTCAACAAACAGTGATTAAGTGGGTAAAGAACAGACTGGAACTACAGCCAGTTGTGCAGCATGCAGAGTGCATCTTGCTTCAGCACATAAGCTTGAAGTGTAAATGTACTTTAAAATAAGCAGGTTTTTCATTTCTGTTGCACTGTGCACTGATTTTTCATCACAGCACTCTTACATGAATATTAAAGGCTAAAAAATATTAAACAGAGGGAGTCAGTGGTGATCCACAGAAAAAAAAAAAAGGATTTGTGCCTTATTTTTTCTTTTTTGTGGCTTATGAAGAAATTCTGCAAGATCTTAAGGAGGGTGTTCACTCGCAATTTTTTAATGTGAGTTTGCTCAGCTGTTTTTATAATTTCTGAAGTAACATGAATTCCAAGCAAGGCTAGACATTTCTGGCCTCATCCACCCTTGTGATTTGGTTAGGGCTAGCTAGAGCAGTAACCCTCCTGCTGCAGTCTGCACATGGAGAAAATCACCGAAAATCACTGAAAGCCACATGTGCTAGCACTGCAGCTTCTCCCTTCAGTCAGGGAGAAGTAAAGTTGTCTCAAGGCAGATCATGGTTTATAGCAGTAAATATTTGTTCTGCTTGTTGGCTGTACCTTGCCTGATTGCAACGGCCTTGAGTTGTACATGGGATCTTGCGCACCTTTACACTGAAGAGCCCCTGTGCTGACCCTCTAACAGGATCAGGTGCTCAGATATGCAAGTTAGGAGGGGCTAGTAATAAAAGGTGAAATCCAGTTAAATACTGGGCAAAATTCCTACTGGTTTGAAGAGAAACAAGGTTTTCTCAAGAACAGCTCTGAAGTTAATCAGTTTTCATATTGCGCCAAGTATACATTTCCTAGTACTCCACTCATTCAGAGTTTCAACAAGATCACTCCTGAACTTCAAAATATGGGGGGGAAATAAACAAAAGGTAGAGTTACGTGACACTATAGTAATATATAATAAGAATAAAAAAGGTATAAGCTTGATTTTCCTTTTTCTGTTCACATCTCCAGGAAATCTTCCAATTTCTAACATAAAACCTAAATTAAGTTTCATAGTGTTTAATCACCAACTAATTCCTTGAAAGACTGATTTGAGGCAACTGTTCTTGTTTTTCTCTTTTGTTTTAATCTTGGCCCTATTCCCTCATTTCTTGCTATATTCCTGACATAATTCCTTGAAAACGAAATACTGACTATCTAAAGAGGAGTTTCTGCTGTAATTAGGGTCAAGACATATCTTTACCTCCGTCTCCTGTTGTGGTATAAAATGTTCATTTCAAAAGCTTTGGCTCTCAGAGCAATCTTATACCCAATGCTACCCATGCCAATGATCCCCAGAGTAGCTCCAGTAACTTCAACTCCCAGAAAATCAGCTTCCCAGTACTCCGTTCCTGCAGAAATTGCAATGTGATAACCTGCAAGAAAAACACTCCAGTATGAGAAATGAATGGGGTCCAACACAGAGGAATGAGCCAAAATAGTCTGGGCTTGTTGTGCTACTATAGTACACTTTTAAAGGTTACAAACACACAAATTTAAATGGCAATGGTTTTTGTAATGTCCTAGGTGACTTCCTAATATATCATCTTTGCCTGGTACACGTATGTGATATTCCCATTTATTCTCATGATACTACAAAAAGCCTTTTAAAGTAATGTCCCCCCAAAATCCTTTTGCTGCTTCAGACTCATAAAAATGTTGCCCTGTTCTGCATCAACAATCAAAATAATTATTGGCAGTAACACTGCAGAATTCGGAAATGTCATGTGGAGAATAACACCAGATGTTGATTTTGCTACTTAGAATAAGAACAGGTTTCCTGTTCACCTCTGCCACTCTTCTTGGAAAGAAAAGTGTCACTTCTTTAAAAATCACTACTTGGTAATTTCCATAATTATCTGTTAAGCCTGCAAAATTTTGGATAGTTTTATAACACAGAAAATAAACTTACATGCACATAGACAGCATTTATTAGTCTGCTAGCAAGGTAACAGGCTTTTAACATTTCAGTCTCCTGATATTGTTCCCTGCAAGAGGTCTAAGTCCCGATTCTCCCAAAACACACAGACTATGTTTAGAAAGGAGACATTGCTTTATTCTGGCCAGGGTGCACAGTGGAATATTTCCACAAACCATACACATCCCATGGCGGTTTTCTTGTCATATCTATACATGCAAGTTACAAGGTAGCACACTCCCAGTTACAATGATTGGTTAGTAATTTACATATGACTATAATATTGGTTATGTCATTCTCCTCAGTTACTGCACCTGCGCAAGGGAAGGGTCTTCACATGGGCACAGGTCTTGGCCTATGGGCGTGATTTTTAGTATTATAAAGAAGATAGTTCAGTTTAGGACACACAGATTTTTCACTGCTCCAGGATGTTTTACTTCAAAGAAAGACACCACCACCTGCTTTCCTTGATTAGGTGTTCTTTTTCATACGACTCAAGGATAGAATCCTTGTTATCCATGAGAACATCTCAGAAAGTTCCTCTATTAATTAGCCCAGATACTTGTGAAGAAACATTCCCAAAGGCAAGTACATAACAAAATGGTCATACGCAAGACCCTATATCAGAAGTTCAGCTAATGCTAATAGTTAACAGGCCTAACTAACATTAATACTAACAACCTTAAAGCTAACTACCTTAATGTTAATGAAAATGGCTAAAATTCTGACTACAAGACAACAATATTGCCAGTTCTTCTAAAACATAAACAGAATATTGTTGAAAGTATCAAAAAATGCCTCAGGATAAAACTCCAGTCATGCCAGGGCAGAGTTATCAGAAATGCCACCAAGGATAGTTTATGTAGATGGACACAAGAAATTAATGTCCTGTTTAATCTTGTCTCCTCTTTGTGAGGTAGAAACAGATTTAGGGGGAGACAAGTCTCCTTTGAGTTTCTATGAATCCTGTGGCACAGCTGGCAAATCAAAGTTTGGTAAATTTAATAGGATAAATCTGGAGGATCTTTTCCTGAAGCAGGAGGCATTCTAACGAAGCCAAGGGTAGGTCTATTTGGGGAAATGGCAAGAAAAAATTGTGGAAGAAACTAGAAAGGATGCTACTAGCAGAAACTGAAGCAGGGTGCCTTGTTGCTCTCTAAGGCTCCTTAAATTCCCCAATTCTGCACCAATCCATCTCAGTCACTAAGAACATGCCCATGCCTCTGTCAGCCCCAGCTTTCAGCATATACCTGTATTCTGCTCCATTGTTGCCTCCCACACTCTAATTTCTTCTGCCAGCCTGTAACTGCATTGATCGTCTGATATTTGGCATCTCCCAATTTTTGGTCAATAGCACTGTAACACCATCACATCAAGAAGCACATCTTATGTCAGTCAAATATCATAGTCACTGAAAATTCACTGCTGAAGAAGGTAATGAAATTTAAAGTTTTCATATGTAGGAAGCACACTTCAGTGTGTTGTTCATCTGAAACTGTTAAACTAGGTCTACAGCCGTATTTACTCTAAAAACTAAACTCCAGCTTCTAAGCCCTGTCCATAAAGCAAAAAGTTATATTTGAATCGAATGTGATTAGATTCTGCTCAAGTATTTTCAACCCAGGCTAGTGACCTGTGAAAAATAAACTCACATGATTTTATTTATACCTTGTTGAAACATGTTATGTATGTTTGTGTATAATCTAATAATTTAGGTATATTTATGATATCTAAAATATATGAAAATACTGATTATTCTATTTGTCAAACCAACATACTTAGATTTTCACATTTTATGTGGAACTATATGCACTACAGATAACTAGGAAAGGTCAAGTTGATGGTAGGTAAATCTTGTATGATTTTTAGAAGGAACGAAAGAATTGAGATATTACCTTCCACTAGTCTTCTAGCAGATGCCAGCAGCAAAGCCATCCCGGTATCTGCTGTGCTGCTGGAAACAGCATGTGGAGCGTTAGCCATCTTCACACCAAAGCTAGCTACAAGTTTCAGATCCAGGTGATCCATCCCTACTCCTGAATTCGCAATTACTTTCAAGTTTGGCAGGCTCTGGAGGAGCTCTTGGTCAATGACTGGTTTGTGCCACCACAAATAGATTGCTTGGACCTTTTTACTCATATGCTTTCTGTTTTCAAGAAATTCCTTCATGGTGATGAGGTAGAAATGTTTCCTCAGGAATGCCACATGGCCATGCAGTATCCCATGTATGCCACCAATTTCATTTACCAGAAGCCCAGGTAGCTCTCCTCCTCCCATGATCTGCACAAAGAGGAAAGACACAAAGTGTCAGAAGACAGACATATAATTATTTCCAGACATTTTAAAGAATAATCACTTTCATGTCCTGTTTCATGACATCTATGACAAGTGATCTTATAAACCACATATTTAGATAAGGAGGTAAACAAACCAAGACAAGAAAGCAGCTCTTTTAAGTATACTACCAATTACACACACACACACACGCAAACACACACAGAGGTGTTCACATAATCAAGTCTGAACAAGTTCTGTCCCTCACAGTCTTTAAGGTTTCATATCACTGCCACCAGGCTCAATTATTTCTCATTCATTACTTAGTTTCAGACTATCAATAGTTTGGTGCAATAAATCTCCTTCCCTACCCTGAAATCACAAATTACTGTGTCTAAGTAGTTTAGAAAAATGTTGGACCAAATCTAGTTTGTGAAAATAAATTGCACAGCTTCATCATGAACTTTGAGTTACCAGGTTAATTTTTAAATGCATCATTGCAGAGGTTTTTGCAGCCTCCTGTTCCAAAGAGACACTAGTGACTTCTTAATTGCAGTGCCTTCTCCTGAGGTGACCCTAAGTTAACAAAATAATAGATGCTTAGGAAATGTTTTCCAAGAAGTACTTATGCACTTAAATTAAAATGTGGGGTTTTTTTTTGCAGGAATCACTGACCATGTTTGTGGTTCCCAAAGGGTCTGTGAACGGACAGCTTTTTTTTTAAAAAAAATAGATTATTTAGAGTTACCATTGATTTTCCACAAGCATTTTGGGGAGAGCTACAGGGAGAGCTGTTGAAGGGCTAAAGATCTTGGAATCCCCTATAGCAATACCTGCTGTTGTCTTGTTAGTAATATTTCACTATCTGAATGTCTAACTCTTGGCCTGTCTACACTTCCTGTGCTTAAAACTTCATTTTACCATCCCTTCAAAACACCTGACGCAATTGCAAATTAATTGAAAGGTTTCCTGATTTTATGGAGGATTTTATTTCACTGAATTTTCTGACTTTGTTGCTTGCTTATCAGAAAGAGAGTGTAAGAAAAAGCTTGGGTCTGGGCTGGAAGTTGGAACGGATCACTAATTTTCCTTTAGTCGTTGCCCTCACCCATGTGATTTCAGTGCTAGACCTACCATTGTTTCATGGCCAGTTGAGATACAAGCAACGTTTTTGTCTGCATGAAGGAATTAAATCTCTTGGGATTTACTTTGGTTTTCAAAGGATCCCCTCAGGAAAATCAAAGATACTTTTTCAATAATTGGCTTTGCTTTGATTTTACATGTAGAGGAAGTAGAGGTCTTCTTACACTAGAAAACCTTAGGCCTACAATCATTTCAAAGGAGTCTGCTTTCCTCAGTATTTTGACATAAAAATAGAATATTTCAATATTGGCTGAAAAGTGTTTCAGGATACAGTCGAATTTCTGCAGGGAATTAATGCTCAATTCACCTTTAATATATTTGAGAGTGTTACACAAACTGCGTGGTGTGTTTGCTTATCATTATGTAGCAGCAAGTACTGGGAACAGAGCACAGGTATTCATTGAAATAATGGGCTGAAGATATCAACGTGCATAACTGCTCAGTTTAAAATCTTCAAACAAATCCCTTTTATTAGTTCCACTTTATTTTTCAGGATTGTAAATAGCAGTACAGATCAAGTTTACTGAGATAACAGTTTTGCAGTATCATGACAACAAGAGCAGTGCAGGAACAGGTTGCACTTCTTTTAAAAGTGGTACTGTGAGAAATAGTGCCTTCCCATACATGTGAGATTTAGTGATATCATCTGGCACGCGTCATTTGGGAAACACTTCACTTGGAATGGGTTGGCCATTGAGAACAGCCAGCATATTCGCTATTGCTTCTTCTGCCATCATACGGACAGCTTGGACCGTTGCAGTTCCAATGTGAGGGGTTATGATGATGTTATTTAATTTTAATAAAGGATGGTCTCTGTAAGAAACAGAAAGAATACAACATATTACATGGGGAATTTACTCTGCAGCTATCCCATGCTAGTCGTTAAGAACTGAACCTCGGGTAACAGCAACGGCACGGTGAGATAAAAGGGCCACAAGCACAGAACCAGCAGAAAGCCTTGGGAAGCTTGCTTACCCATCTCTTCTTCTTCTCTATTGGTCCCATTGCCTTGCCTGTCAGTTAGGCTGGCAAAGAACTGACGGACGTGGGAAAGGCAAATAGTTTGCCATTTATTTATGATTGTGTGAGCCAGGCTAAGGTTTTGCCCTTAAACAGTGAGAGAGACTCCCTATGGAGATCAAGATTATCAGCACACTTTTGCACACAGTTTAAAACATTTTAGATTAACAGAATGGAAAACATGTCTCTCTACCTTGGCAGAGGCTCAGGGTATGTCACGTCCAGAGCAGCAGCCCTAATAACCTTATTCTGAAGAGCTTCTACCAATGCGTCTTGATCAATAACTCCACCTGCATTGAAATGAAATCTTGCTATCGCGATGAGTTAATGAACGTGTTTTTACCTGGGAGTGACGAAAGGTCTCAAGGGTCTAGTCAGAAAAATTACAGGATCTTCATCTTGTTAGAAAGTAGAATGTTTTTTTAATAACCTTTAACCAAACAAACCAGAGATTTTATTTATTAAGCTTTAATTAGAGGAGGATTATCATCCACTGCATAAGGTTTTTCCTGGGATGTGACCAGTTTCAGTCTTTTCCCCCTTTTGACACTGACTTCCTGTATTATTATAGACAAATCATTTAATCTCTTCAAGCTTTCCACTTTTATCTCTGCTTTGCTTGCTGAAACTACAATCTGTCTTACATGCTTGTTCGGTGCAAAAAGATCTGTAATCACATGTGAGATTTCTTTTCTACATGGCTGTTCCAAATGAAACTTATGTTTGCACCCCCTCATACCTCATTCATCATTGGTGATTATAAACTTTTCAGTTATTTCCACTAAAAAAGCTGTCTTTAGGATAAGGCTAAAGAGAACAGAATGTCTGCTGAGCATCCCTAAATTCCATAGGACCTTTGAACACATAGCATCTTATCTATGATGTCATTCATTTTTAGGCTGCCAGCTACTTCATGACTCAAACAATACAGGGGTATCACAGATTGAGGTTGGAGGTGGGAATGTCAACATAATCAGACAAAATACAACCTTAACAGTGGAACCAGAAACACTGCTTTTAGATCATCCTACCTCGGCTGATGTTTATAAGAGTAGCTGTGGGTTTCATCAGCCCGAGCTCCTTTTTCCCAATCAGTTTGTGAGTCTCAGGAGTCAGGTTCACAACCAACATAACAAAGTCAGATTGCTGCAGCAAGTCTTCCATCTTCTCACAGTAGTGGGCACCAACTGCCTCTTCTTCCTCCTTTCTTCTGAAGGAAAAATGCACACGCACCCAAACTGACACAATTATTTTTAACTGGCTTTAACAATCAATCCACCCTAGGAGAGATCTGGAACAGCATAGAGATTGAGAGGTTTGAGGCCAAGGTAAAGGAAAAGACATTGATAGGTATAGATGGTGGAAGGGAGGAGAGAAGGATATGGGATAGAGGGAGCAACAGGCTAGAGGAGTGGCAGGACACTGAAGGAGTGATGTATGTTTGAAAGCAAAGCACACAGGCGATATTAGATATAGGAAGTCGGGGGTGCAGTCAAACCCCACTCTTCTCCCCTCCATCTATGCCAATCCCTGTAGAGTCTCTCCTTGCCTGACATGTGAGTTAGGACTTGAGGTGGAAATGGAATGAAGGGAAAGGAAAGTCTGAAAGAAAGGGAACTATAAAACTAAGAGAAGTTAAGACCGCTGTCATTGGTGCTGGTGTGATGAGTGATCGGGCTGGACTGAGGAGAGGGGTGAGTGTCTGGGTGGGCAGGGATGCTGCCAGAAGCCTGAAGAGGAGTCTGGAGGACAGGGGAAACAACAAGGGAGGGCACAAGGCCTGGTTTGCTTGAACAACATCTTCAGAAAGCTTACACGGCCCTTGTTCCAAACTGCTAGTAACTAACCAGGGCAGAGCGAGTGCAGTAGGCAAGGGGGAGCTGCTTCCCGAGGGGAGCAGTAGGGAGCCAAAGCGAGGAAGCAGCAGCATGCTGGTGCTACTCAGGCTGTTTATAACTGTCCTAAGTGCCTAGGAAGACCAGGGAGACAGAGCAGAGGTGTGGTTTCTGTCACTGTCGCTGACAAATTACATGCAGAAAACAGACGTTTTTACCTCCGGTTCCTGTTATGGTACAGAATCCTCATGTTGAAGGCTCTGGCTCTCTGAGCCACTTTGTACCCAATGCTGCCCATCCCGATGATCCCGAGTGTCGCTCTGGTTACTTCCACTCCCAGCCAGTCAACAGCAAAATACTTTGTGTCTGGAGAAACCGCAATCTGGCAGCCTGAATGCAAATACATGCTAAATGGGTACAAATCAACCATAAACGTAGGTTTGGGCGAAAGAAAAAGTTTCTCGCCATAAAAGCAGTGAGGCTCTGAAGCATCCCTTACAAAACATCCTTGCTAATTTTGACCAGTTTATAGAAGGGCCTGGATGGTGCCATTCCCTGTAACAGCCAGGGCTGGAGCCAGTAACACAGGGTGGATCCCAGGTGGGTACAGTGCTGAGAGGAATGGCTCCTCAGGGAATTAACTCTTCTGTGGCCGGAGTATTTTCTTGAAAGTTCAAAAATAGCTTCTTTGACACTTACCACCCCGCAAGCATTGACTTAACTTTTTTTTTTTTTACCTGGGGTAAATATCACCCTTTCTCCCCTGGATAACAAGCCAAAGCAGCTCCACTGCTTGAGTGGGTGTGAAGGCTGCAAATTCCAGCTCAGCAAGGGATCTCTATGAGTTTTTACAGAGGGTGGAGCAGCAGTGACAAACACTGTGAGTCCCTGAAGACAGAGGCAACTTCTTGTGATAGCCTCTACTGACACCTTCCTTCCTGTGAAAGGCACTGCGTAGCAAGGGCATGTGGGGAAAGGACCCACCTTTAAGGACACAAACTAATGTTGTTGATACAGTTTGGAATAACTTTGTCAAAATTATTATCAGCTATTTCAATAACAATGCTGTTGTTCTTCTGGAAATTCAACCCATTAGTTTAGACCAACTCTTTGCAGAAGCAGGAAAAAAATTAAGAGTTATACTAATTACTGCTCTAGAGATGGGGATATGGCCATTAATGATTTGTACCTTCCTGTAGCTCCTAACACCCACTCCAGGGAAATGGAGAAGTGGTGACATTTGATTTGGATGCATTTTGTATTCAGTTTTTACAGCTATAAACAACCCACCCAGTGAACAGCCAGAGGAGAATTAAGCCCCAGACATTATTCCAAACAGGATATCACAAGTAACTTGAACGTGCATAATGTAGACAAAGGCCTTACTCTTGTCACCATTGTCTTAAAAAGAAGAGGGAAATAGGAAAACCAGAGGCCCCTGAAAATGGAGTCCTCAGAATTTTTTTCCCTGTTAAAGCATCCCAAATATTGATTCGCACAGATCATCTGTGTCATAGTAAAAGTGAGACATGCCAAAGAAGTAGCTAAGATCCAGGAAAATTTAAAACATTACCTTCCACTAGTCTTCTGGCAGAGGCCAACATCAAGGCCATTCCTATATCTGCTGTTGGGTCCGCCACGGCATGTGGGGTGTTGGTCACTTTTACGCCAAAGTTAGAAATCATTTTCAAGTCTAAGTGATCAACTCCAACCCCAGAGTTTCCAATTACTTTTAAATTAGGCAGGCTTTCTAGAAGCTCCCGGTCAATAGTTGGCCTGCACTCAAACACGAAAATAGATTGGATTTTTTTGCTCATTTCTTTTTTGTTTTCAAGAAATTCCTTCATGGTGATAAGGCGAAAGTGTTTTTTTAAAAGTGCTGCAAGGTTTTCTAGCACACCATGAGTTCCTCCTATATCCAGAATCAAAACGCCTGGCAACTCTTCTTCTGCCATGACCTGCAACAGGGGAACAGAAGAAATACTCCTTTGTTTAGGAGAACACCCCTAAAGGACTGATGCTGTAGTGATCGTTTAAATTCACATCTGTAAAACAGGAAACTGATGGAACTCAATATTGCTTCTAATGATACAGAATAAATCCATATTTGATACCAGCATGGTACATTAGACAACTTTCCAGTATTTTCCCTAAGTGCTGATTTAGACTATAACACCAAGGAATATCCATCCCCTTAGATCTAAATCCAGTCCTACAAAGAGTTCTTCTCAGATAGTTTCATTTTAGTCCTGAATCAATATTGATTTCACACAAATCCAGTAGGTTACCTTATTCACAAATTTGTTTATATAAAGAGTGGTAAGAAATAGAGGCTGCTAGGAAGTTACTCAAAGTTTCTTGCCTATTGATTATGGTTGGTGAAGCCACAGGTAGTGTAGGGATGCACCGAGGCTCAGATGGGTCTGACAAACATCTGTCAGGAATGGTTTAGGCCTAACAAATTTGCACTCTGAAGGGCCATCCTTGGACAGCTGCTACACTGCTTGCCTTCAGTGTTTTAAACATCCAGATCTGTACCTGAACTTACCTCCTGCAAAATTTAGTACACCCATGCCTATATTCTGAACCAGTGGGGAAGAGCACTAGAGGTGATACTAAGTCCCACTGACTACCTGGTCCTTCATGCTAGAACTTTTCCCCTGCCCAGTTTTGAGCCCAGTCCTCTCTGCAACACCCATGCAAATGTATTGTACCCTGCAAGAAGACAGGGGCTCCACAGATAGCCACATATCTAATTAGAGGGGAGAACTGCAACCCGTACTGACAAAAATTGTAGCTGAAGATTTGCTACATGCATTAACAACATTCATGTCTAACTTCCTACAATTCTGTTCACTATGCTCCACTCACTTTAGGTCTCTATCCCATACTGTGTCCTAGACTTGTGTCCAGGAAACCTGACATTGTGCTAACTAAATCAGAACAGTTTGCCACACCAGTATGCTGATTTATTCTGGGCACACAGTGCTGGGCAGGAATTTCCTCTCACACAAGCCTTCAGCAAGTAACCAGAATTCAAACCTCTGACAAGAAGGCATCATTGCAGATTAGAAGTTTCTGTCAAACCATATTTACCCTTGTCCTGAGCAAACTCAGGCTTATCCCAACTGCATCTATTAAATGGTTACAATCTTGACACCTGTAATACTGCTTTATCCTGGCCTTGACCTGCATTTCTGCCTCACCTCCAGTCTGCTGCTGTACAAGGGCTAGACGGGGCCTCCATGTTAGGATAGGTCTGCAGTTCACCACGAACAGTGTCTCTGATAACACTAAGTGGTTCTGAACAGCAGCAAACAAAGCAATGAGATCAATATTGCAACCATGTTGCAAAGGAATACCACATTCTCAAATATATGCAATCTATTTCTTGCCAACTGAAGTATTTTGAACCCTGCCAGCCACATAGGGTTGTAAAAATTGTGCTAACTTCTCCAGCTGTAGTCTGTAGATTTCTTAGAGTATTACACAACATGACCTTAGAAGAATAAACTAGATTTGTCTTCCAGAATGAATGACAGGTAGAATAAGGACAAGATCCAACGTCATATTGAGACAGTGTTGTCCAGCTTCTTGATGAGCAGAACCTCATGCTCCTGCAGCAACTTACTCAGACTGGATGGCAACTAAACCTTATGCTGTTAAGTGATGGAAAACTGAGTGCCAGATATGATCAATGTACTGGCAGATGCCAGTAAGGCAGCACTGTATTACACCATTTGTTTTCATCACCACTTCCTCCTCCATTACAATACATCACCCCTCACAAAGGTCAAAGTTCAGACCCACATTCATATTAGAAGCACCTCCTAAATTTCAGAAGCAGAAACATGACTCATGAAGAAGCCACAGTTCAGCCCAGCAAGAGCTGATTCAGCTCTAAACAAAGTGGCTGGTGCACTAGAAACAGGCCGGTTGCATGTAATTAATCTTCTCATTAGTGTGGACACGCTGAGTCTGCCACGATTTCAGCCATGTTTGGTGCACACGTGAACCATTAATAGACTCCAGTTTTGGTTCATGAACTGGGGTTCTCCTAGTACCAGGTACAACCTTAAAAAATTACATTGATAGTAGTAAACTAAAACCACTTAAAGGAACCTTGCAGAGGCAAGGGGGCTCTCCAGATACCGACCTTGGTCTGAGGAGCACTTAGTGTTCGTCCTCCAGCACTACCTGGGCACATCTTGTACCTCTCTCTGTAATCCACACTTCTCCTGTGACAGCGATGTCCGTGAGAAGCAGTGGCTGGATGAATAAATTTATAAGCCAAATTTGGCTGGCCAGACATCAAGGGAATCAGTTTTAACAAACCGAATGCTTTGCTCCTTAACATAATTATTCAGATACCAGATGTCTTGTCCAGTGTGCTCAATGTAACACCTGTTAAGGATATGACAATTTTGGTTTTGGACTAATATCACCTGCAGTATCACTGACTCTCTTTTTTTTAAAAAAAAAAAAACTAAAACACAAAAAACCCAAACAACTGTCTCTCCTCACATGTTCTAGTTACGTAAGATTATCTGATTCCATGACACTGATAATAATTTATGTGTACTGATAATAAATTCTGTTCCTTGCATTGCAGAGAACTTTGAAAATATAAATCCAACTGAGACAAGCGGGCAAATAAAAAGAACCACCTGTTAAGTATTAACTTCAGCGTTACTGTTTTCCTAAGCCGGCCTTACTTCTGTGGAGCTTGACTCGCTACTTGCAGATTTGTTCACTGGCACTGCTGTATCGTTTTGGACTTTGCCAAATCATAGCAAAATAAACCTACATAATTTTTCCTAGCTCTGTTTTAAATTAAAGTTAACAGCATGCGTTACGCGGAACGAGGTCCTCCCGCTAATTTCTCTATAGAAACCAACGAATTACCTGAACAACAACCACAGCCTTAACAAGGGCTGGTGTCTTTCTGACGACGTTTCTTTCCCAGCTCGACCGGAGGAGCCGGCAGTTCCCGCTCCCCGCTCGGCGCAGCCGCTGCCGCCCCCTGCGACCCGCCTCCGCCGGCGGAGGGGGGACCGCCTCGCTGCCACCGGAGCCCGCTTAACCCCTGCCCTGCCCGGGGAAAATATTTACTTTATAGCCAGCTATCGTATGTGGGTTTCAAGGTTTCAGTGTTTTGGAGCTAGCCAGGTGCAGGGATGAGGAGGAGCCAGACCCCGGCACTTGACCCAAGCTGGCCAACAGGATTATTTCATACCATGAATGTCACATTCAATATAAATGAGAAAGTTTGCTGAGGAGTTCTCTCTCTCCCTTGATGGCTGCCATCCTGAGAACTTCTTGCCCCAGTGCCGGACCCCTGAGGCCTTCCCTTCCTCCTGAAGCCATAGCACTCGGTGTCTCCGACGTTTGCTATCCACTGCTGGGGGTGCACAGCTTCCTACTGATAGAATTGGCTGAGTATAATCCTTGTATATTTTATAGTGGCATTGGGATCAATACTGGTACTTTAGTTATTATTAATGTTAATTATTTAGTGTTATTCTATTAAATCTGTTTACATTTCAATTCTTGTGTTTCCTTGTTTGTTCCGATTCCCCTTCCCGGATGGGAAGGGGTCATTGGGTGATAGAATAATTGCCGAAATGACAATAAATTGTTGTGGGTTCTTCAAACCATAACTGTATTGAAGTGCGACTCCTGCCATGGGCCAGACAGCGCAACTCCCACTGGTAGCGTTAGTCCTGGGTGTAGAATGGATCAGAAAGAAACACAGAAGATGGATATGCAGTTGTGATCCAGCTGGGTCAAACATACCTGTATTTTTTGCGCAGCGCTCAAGCCACAACTAGCACAAGCTCAAGCGTGAAGATGTTGCTGTGGGTTAATGTATTTATAAAATCTTCCACAACCAGGAGACGCATGGAGCTGCGCTCTCTGTTGCAGTATCTCCTTGACCAAATCCAGTGGAGGCACAGGGAGTTGTTTAATATCCATAGAGTGGGTGGTAGCAGAGATTTGGAGGTTCGGGCTGTGGTAACCTCTGTTTTCATCCTCCCTGTGCCACCCACCAGCACTGCCCAGGCCAGCGGCGCCAACCACCCCAGCACAGCTCCATGCCTCACTCATAAGGGGAGGTGCCCGTGGCCAGCAGACAGGCAGCACAACCTGCCCACCCGTTTGGGTGTGCCCGGCTCCTGGTGCAGCAGGGACACCACCACAGAGCGACCTGCCATTTTGGTTGCCCTCTGGGCCATCGCCCCGGAGCCAGGCCCAAAGTTGATAGCTCATTTGAAGGGGAT